GCTTGTCAACAAAATAAAGCAGAGCGTAAGAAAACTCGTATAACTAGTGAGCGTAGGGCTCGGAAAAGAAACGTTGATGAGATGATGTGCAAATCTGGGGAATGTTTGGAATCTGTACTGGATCCAACAACTGTGTGTAATGTAGAAGTAGATGGGCCCAGGGATGAGCCACTCCAAAATAGTCAGGATTTATTACCCAAAAAAAGTGATATAGTGACTCAAACCCGAAATGTAGTTCACTATAGAAGCAAATACTGCCAAGTTTCGTTGTCATTTTCGTCTACAAAATTCGATGTGGCTACGTCCCCCATAAAACCCGAGGGACTCCTAAAAAAGTCATGTAAAAATCTTGAGGGTGAGGTCAGAAGTTCATTCCAATCACATTGCGAGGATTCATCTACAGACACAACGGAAACCTTAGATACGGAGACGGAATGGCAATCAAATGAAGACAGCAGCGAAGATAATATACCAGGATACTACAAAAATGAGGGAAATAAGTTTCGATCAATGTTTATCCAGAAAATTGAGAATCGGCTACGATTGTATACAGGTGTACCTAAAGAATACAAAAATGTTATAGAAACTTTAGTAATCAGAAGTTCTTTAAAGAAATATTTTATATATTTATCTTTGTACAAAATTAAGAGTAATATGTCTTTTCAACAAATAGCGGACCTATTTGCAATAAGTAAAGCTTATGCAAGTACAGTATTTGCACGTACTACTTTAGTGCTAGCCGAATTTATGAGGCACTTAATATACTGGCCAAGTAGCGATTCTATAAAAACAAATCTTCCCATTCAATTTCGAATGTCTTTTTACAATGTACAGTCTATCATCGACTGCTTGGAGATTCAAATTCATAAACCTAGCGACCCTGTTCAACAGGCGCTGACTTGGTCCGAGTATGAAAAGTGTAACACTATAAAGTATTTGATATCATGTACTCCTGATGGTTTCATAAACTTTATATCTTGTGGGTATGGAGGACGCGCAAGCGATGTTGCAATTTTTGAAGACTGTGGTGGATATTTAAAAGTTCTTGCAGAAAATTGCGTTATTATGGCAGACCGAGGTTTTAAACAAATTGAAACATCCCTAAGGAAAAAAAAATGTACATTGGTTAGACCTCCAAGTGTTTTAAGTAATGTAAAAAAGACCAAGGATGACGTTCTGCTTACAAAACGAATTGCAAGTGTGCGAATACATATTGAACGTATAATAAATCGCTTGCGACATTTTAAAATGTTAGGACCCCACTCTACTCTTTCTTCAGCAATGGTTCAAAAACTAGATAACATTAGTATAGTTAGTATTTCCTGTGCCATAATAAATTTACAAAAACCCATTATAATACAATAGTACATTAAGATTATACTATGTCTGTTTCTAAATAAAACAATAGTTTCCTAAACGATATTTTTATTTTCTTAAATGTTTATTCAGTAAAAACTGCATACAGTAATTTAAAAATGTTGGTTTTCCAAAAGTGTATGGCAGAGTCAATAAGACCTTTTGTAAAATCCTCATCATATTTAACGTTGATAACAGTAATTTCCTTTGTAGTTTCAAAATTGGGGTGTGCTACGCAAAATATTCCTTTTTCAACACCTCTTGCTAACATTTGCAGATTTATTTACTTTAAGTATTTTTTCCCTATTTCGTTATTGTTATTAACATATTGTAAAAAGGATTTATCAGACATCGGACATTTTATTTCTATCACTGAATCTTCTGTCACCCCGTCAGGTGAAGCTCCTATAACTCCGTACTCCTTTAAAATAATGAAACCAACACGTTTTACGTTTATGTTAAGTTTTTTATTTAGCTCATTTAAAATATGTTTTTCCAAATTTCTTCCTCTTTTCATGGCTGGCGTATCAAATTTTTTAAAGCATAATTTGTGTTACCAAACTACCATTTGTTTTTGCATTTGCTGGCCTCGCATATAGTTTTGAAGCGGTTAGGCGACCATAACGAAGCTCAAACCATAACAGATCCCTCACTTTGCGTATGAAAGCTTGGTTGCGGCATTTTTAATGTTTTCTGTGGTAATAGAATTTTTGCAATACTCAATAAAATAATCTGCCGTTGGGTTTACACCATTTCTAATACAATTTTGTAGTAAGTGATGGACAGACAACTTCTTGCTACCACTTAAGGGACTGTTATGTAAAACCAAAGGACACACATATTGCGTTTGTGTTTCAGTCATTTTTAAAACATCGTTTAGAAAGCCGTTGCTACTTGGAATATCAGCAACAGTATTTTTTAAACGTCTTCCAATACTTGCGCACTTGATTAATTTAATATTGGATCCTATTTGGGACAAAATGGGTTTTTTCCAATAACAAGCAACGGTGGTAGGTGCAGGTTCTTCTGCTCGACGATGTAGCCACATCAGAAAAGCCATAGCATGTTTGCATCCCCCAGCAGTTGCTGCACAATCAAGGCATTTGACTTCTTCAACTATTTCCGTGTCTTCATTAATGATAGCTCTAACTGAGTATGGCTTTATCCTGACTTTATGTTCGGGACATATTCTGGCTTTCACAATACATCTACTACCCTGCCGTTTAATCTGAACGTACCCTACAGCTGAATCGCCATAGCTTTGCCGTGCTGACCTGGAAAAATACATATCATCGTTTAAAAACATAAAGTATATGATACATCTGCTATATAGTTTTAAATAATCTTGTTACCATAGTTTCTTATGTTTAAAAAGAATCATAAGTATTTCCCAAAGTTGTAGTTTTGTATGCATAATATTGTTATATTTTTATACATAAAAAAACACTTTTGGAAGTACTTATGATAAAAAAATATTTTTTTAACATAATAAATATTTATCGGCTTAAAAAAATACAAAAATTAAATAACAAAGTAAACAACATAATCAAACTAAACAACTTATTCACGCACTTACCGACTAGCTTTAACACCACTGGATTCAACTTGGTTATAATCAGTATTCAGCAAGAGAAAGTCGAATACCATATTGACATCTACTTGCGGTAAATTATGTGAATCTCCTTTCTGGAAACCCTCCTCCAAATTTAGCAACAAAAACAACTTCTTTTACGGTATTCAACAACAAAAATAATAATGTAACTGCTGTAAATGTCGACTGTACTTCAATACTTTGTACATGAAGTGTCACAGTCAAACTGAATCACGGTCTTGCCGTCGCAAGCGGAGCAGCGTGCGGCAGGCATGTGACGTCAGGCCAATGAGAGCGCGTTTATTTAATTTGAACGGAGCGCATAACTTCAAGAGTCTCTCTTGTCAAAGGAGTTTATTTTTTTGAAAAAAAAGTTTTTTAATAGGTATTATAATACTAAAACATTAATTTTTTACCACTTTTAGTGCAATTTTTTTTTTAGTGAACAGACCTATTACCGATATAGCTTTGATTAGTAAAATTCTTAACCTACACTAATGTAACCATTATAAAATAGTTGTATTATGTTTCAGAGTAATCACCTCTGCATACAAGGTTCAACAGAAAATTAATGTGAGGAACGTCAAAGATAACGTCGGACTACAACCTATTAAACCGGGGCATGCAAAAGCTAAACAGTTGTAAAACTTGGAAAATAAGTTGGTTATAATAATGGTTTTATAATTCGGAAACTCTCTATTTATTTATCTAGTAATGCTAGAACGCTCTATTAATTTGAAAGTCGATTAGAGAAAATAGTATGATTCATTGGCAAGCGATGTAAATATTTGCGATTAAGTAAAATTGTGATGTAAGAAGACAGGCTTAGCTTGCCGGCGAGTCAGTAGTGGACGGGCCGGCCGCGGCCGGCTGTAAAGTAATGTTGTGTTGTGTTTTGCCACAGAGCTGACATTTGGAGGTTGCGAGTCTAATGACTAAGGTTGCGAGTCTTTTGACTATTAGGATGCGAGTCTTATTGACTATTAGGATGTGAGTCTTATTGACTATTAGGATGCGAGCCTTATTGACTATTAGGAAGCGAGTCTTATTGACTATTAGGATGCGAGTCTTATTGACTATTAGAATGCGAGCCTTATTGACTATTATGATACGAGTCTTATTGACTATTAGGATGCGAGTCTTATTTACTATTAGGATGCGAGTCTTTTGACTATTAGGATGCGAGTCTTTATGACTATTAAGGCTGCGAGGGATGCGAGTCTTTATGACTATTAAGGTTACGAGTCTTTTTGACTATTAAGGGTGCGAGTCTTTTGACTAAGGTTACGAGTCTTTTTGACTATTAGGGATGCGAATCGTTTTAGCGGCAGTTTTGCGTCCGGGGAAGCCCCTATACTTATTTCAGGTGACACCAGCTAGTTGTTGAAGATTATTAACCAATAGATCCGAATAATATTTGAATTAGATGGAAGATATTGTAAAATCGCTTATTTCTGGGGCTTACTCAACCGGGTCTCACAATGCAAATTCACCTCAAATATCCATTTAGTTGGTCATTGGCAAGCATTCTCTCATTGTACATGAAAATAAAAAAAACAAACATTTACTGATCTGGATAAAATTGATAGTTAAATAGTAAGACTCACCCGGGGGTACTCCGCCCCCTGGCCACTGATATATTCTCCATCTAATTCAAATATCATTCGGATCTATTGGTTAATAATCTTCAACAACTAGCTAGTGTCACCTGAAATAGTATAGGGGCTTCCCCCGGACGCAATTCTGCCGCTAAATAGATTCGCATCCCAATCGATGAAGCTAATTGGGGTACCTCACTAGTCCCTCTACCCCAAGGCCGCATCGTATCAATTGAGAAGACAAGGGAGACCTCAAACTCTCAAGACCAACCTCGAAGGAAAGACATCACCAGAGGTTTTCTTCCGGTCAAACGACCCGTTGCCTTACAGTACTTGCAACGTTTATAGTCAAAAGATTCTCAACCCCCAAATATCAACTCTATGACAAAACAAAGCACAACACAACAGCCGGCCGGTCAGTCTACAACTGAACCGCCGTAGGCAAGCTAAGCCTCCTCTTACATCACAATTTTACCGGATCGTAAATGTTTACATTACTTGCCAATGAATCATACCTATTTTCTCTAATCGACTTTAAAATAGAGTGTTTCAGCATTACTAGATAAATAAATAGAGAGTTTCCGAATTATAAAACCATTATTATAACCAACTTATTTTCCAAGTTTTACATTCGGCCAACCTGAACTTAGTTGCGCCCACGCAACTCTAATCTGACAGTGTCTGTCTTCTCTCTCCAGCCACCCAGATCTTGTCTCTGGCAACTCTGATTCGTCTAATAAAAATAAGACAAACAATTGACAACTACATAAACGTCATAAAATTAAACCGTCAAATAAAAGTGCCCTACACACTTGTTGTCTCACACACAAGTCGTAGAACAGATGTCATGCGAATGCATACAAAGTTATAAAATTAATTCAACCCACAAAATAAAGACCACAGCGTATAAAACAGTAGTTAATGACAAAAATATCTGCTGTTTGGGTTAGGTTATAACCTATTATATCTTTAGATGAATACCAGAGTAAAAATGAAGAAATTATTCAACCACATACATAGGCAATAAAATGTCCTATTTTAGTGATGTGGTTAAAAATAAACAGCGGCCATTTATAGTTAACACAAAAAATTAGTAAGTTGACTAAAAACTGCATAGTAGAAAATATCGAACCGCCGACTAACACAAAAGTAAATCGGCTGCACACCATATTGTTCAAATAAAATGCGATACAGAAGAATCGCTGCAAAGCTTTACCAAGCAGTAAAAAACACAATCTCTGATACATATTATGATATTAAAATGCCTTTGAGAAGAAAAACCTTAAGACTACGAAACAAATACGAAAATTGTTTTAATGTTATATTGGAATGCTCTAAACAACCTTTTGATTAGTGATCTGTTACCTTTGAGGTGAAATCTAGGATCGACACTGTGCATTCAAGTCTTTCGATTGTCAGACAGAACTTAAAAGATTTTCACTTGAGTGCTACACTTTCTCTGTTTACCAGTATGTAAACCTATTATTTCTTTATATGGTGCAGATACAGCCATATAGCAAACAACTACCGTAGCTCCAGACCAAATTTGTCCAAACTGCAGCGGAGATCATACATAGGTTTGTACAGCCTACACAAACATGTTCAAATTGTGAATATACAAAAGAGATGTTGAAGATTTGAGATATTGACATGAAACGTACGTATTGAAGAACTGTAAATAAATAAAAGATGACAAACACAACAGAGAATTGAATAGCAGTTCTTGTTTTTGTTTTACGAAGGGTTCATATTTGTATTTAAATGCTGCTGGTATAGTAATACAATATTTGAACTGAGAAACCCATTTGAATCGAGAAAAC